CTGTGAGGTGAAGGGGTGCAGACACCCTATGCAACCTCCCTGTTTCCTATCCTATCCATGCACATTGGGACTGCGCCAGTTCTGCTGCCTACCCAGTTGACCCAGTTTCTGAACACCCACATTTTTGTAGATGGAATAATGCCATTTCCAAAGCTGACGGAGACCTAGGATAGGATTTTCAAAGGAGCCTAAAGCAGTTAGGCACTCAAATCACATTGAAATGTAGCAGGAGTTGGGTGCCTAACTATCTAGGTAGCTATGAAACACCCAGTCCTCATTCCTGACAGTATAATGGATGAATAGTGAGAATAAGAATAAAACTTTGCTTTTCATGATTGCAAGAGAACATAATGCAGTGTTTTAAGAATAAATAATTCAAGCCCATCTTTCTCCCTGGACTGAGATATTTTCCCACCACTTTATTCTAGGAAAGCATTTGAGAACTTAATGAGAATTTATATCTTCCATTGACATTATTTCTCTATTAATTTCACTAGGAAGATTTCTCTGATGTCTTTGACATTAAACAGAAGAGTCTTCATATTATCTAACACCAAGCCAACTGGAATAAGCTCCAGAGAAGAATGAACACCCTCTAATGCTAAACAGGAGCTGTTCACTGTATCTCAGAGCTTTTTCTCCCTGGGTCATAGCTGAGTAATGGAATTTTTGAAATCTGTGTAAATCCTAGTTGAAAGGTGCTGCCTGATGAAATTTCCATGGCTGAAGCTCAATCTCTGGTTTTCACCCCCATGCTATAACATCAAATTCTGCCTTCTGAAGACTATTCTTCTTTTTGATTTAACTGCATTGTACAAAAAACTACATAAAGGGAAGGTTAAGATTGCATAAGTAAGTGCTCAAAAGTCAGGAAATGCCAAACAAATCTTGTTGCCAGAGCTACAGAAGTGAGCACAAGCCTGAAAGTTGCCAAAGAAGGAAACCACAAGATGAACTTGTATTGCAATCAAAACTATTCCCTCGTCCCAGATTTCAGGGCTTTAGATTATTATTATTTTATGTATAAGAGCAGGGTCTAGAAACCCCAATCAGATTGGGGCCCCATATTGCTAGGTGCTGTAGACATATAGTAAAGATAGACCCTGGCCCACTGAGCAGGCATTTTTAGATTAAGACAAGATGCAACAGGCTAGTGAAATAAACAAAGGGGGATCAGGTGCCAGGGAGAGGGGATGGGGTAACAATAAAATTTACTCACAGACTAACTGTATGCACCTAACCCTCCTAGATCCTTTAACAAGGAACAGTAACAAAGAATTAAGATCCCTTTGACCAGTGGTTCTCAGACTTTTGTACTGGTGACCCCTTTCACATAGCAAGCCTCTGAGTGCGACCCCCCCCTTATAAATTAAAAACACTTTTTAATATATTTAATACCATTATAAATGCTGGAGGCAAAGCAGGGGTTTGGGGTGGAGGCTGACAGCTCGCGACCCCCCCATGTAATAACCTGAGGGGTCCCGACCCCCGTTTGATAACCCCGGCCTTTGACTATTCCTCTCTTTTTCGTAACAATACAGCATGTGGCTAGAACCCTTTTTCTGGTTCTTTCCTCTCCAGCCTCTTTGTAATCAGTAACTTTATATGAGTAAGTGACATCACTACAAAAGCCACCCTCATCCATTCTACAATTCCTAGGGCCTGAGCTGCACCCATTGACATCAGTGGTGAAGGAGTGGGCCTCTAGTCACCATCAATGATTGTACTGCATCATGAAAGGTGCCATAAAGTGAAGAGCAAGCAGTTGAGAGCTTATATTTCTTCAGAGATCGTACTGTTCTGTCATCTCCCCATTCAGGCCATGAAACCCCTAATGTGCGGGGCAGGCAATTATTTTCCTTTCATATGCATTGCCATTTACATGAGCGGCTGCAGAAAATTCCAGAACATGCTGAAGGACAATTTCCATTTTGGCAGATATTGGCTCGGATATTTTTATCTTGGTACATGTGAACTAATCATTACAAGTGCAATGCCAACAAAAATGTATCCAATCAGGTTGAAACTGATTGTCATGCAGAGAGCCAGCAGAAGTGCTTGGCACCACTTACACCCAGAAATCTTAAGTGGAATCTAAGTAGTGGATAGGCTGTGGGGCTGATCTTCTGCACGGGGTGAATTTCACCCCTAGTTCATAGAATTTTGCACACTAGCTTCTGCATGACTGGAAAAATATACCCATACCAGAAACACTGCAAGGACATCTGTACCTTTATCACCTTAATAGATTAATGGGGGCAATTATTCATCCAAGAAATAGGTGAGCAGAAAACTTGCAGATTTCGCAGTTTCCCCAATAAAATTTCTGTAATTCTCAGAACACAGTATATTTGGCATTTATTATTTTTTTCAGTATACCTTTATGCCTGTCTTTATTCCTGTAAAATTGAAAATACATACAGCCAAAATTAGACTATTTTTAATGAACAAGTATTACATTCATTTTTAACTGCTCTCTTTCCCAATTTTGAACATTTTGCTGCCATCAGTTATGCTTCTTTTACATGGCATATAGTAAAAAAGCTTTAATAGTATAATCAATCATCTTAACATATTTTCTGTCCCACATACAACAACAGTCATTGTGTTGCAATCAACAATGAGTTTTCCAAGGATTCCTGATTGTTTTGGGTTTGACTCTTCTTTTATCATGTAGTGATTTACAGTAAAGAACTGAAACATCAGTATTTTACATTGAAATGGCCAACATTACTATCTAGGCACTGTTGCCCCTATATAACAGCTCTCAGATGGACTCTCAGAGAGTTAGCCAAAAGCAATAGATGACTCCATAATTTCTATTTTATTTTTAATGAAAAACAACAAAAAGTGACCACAGTGATTTGCAATCAAAGTCTCAGTAGCTTTTAAAGGACTATTACTTTTCTGAGATTCTGCCCTTTGTTTAAATTTTGTTTGACAAGTGCTTTATAAATGAGCAAAAGAGGTGGTTTATGTTTCATTAATGAGGTTGATAGTGGTTAATTACTGACGTGGCATAAACAATCCAATGCCAGATCAAGCAGGAAGGGTCAATTATGCAGAAAAGATCCAGCTGGAACAGATATGATTTCCTTTAACTATTTGAATACCAAACCATTTATAGACAAGATCTCCTGAGAACTCAAACCCATAAGAGTTCTGAATTCTATGGTTCTAATTGATGCTGGGCTTGGAACATAAAACAGGATTTAGGAACAGCAACTTTCTGTACAAACTGTCTGCTGATCTCAGACTCCAGAAGACGCTCATCACATTTCTTAGACCATTGAATAGATAGAGACATCTTCACCACATAGGATGGCCTGTAGAAGGGGCCACAATGATGCTAATGAATGAAATGAGGTTGCTAAAGTAGTGTGGCATGACAAATATAAGAGGGTCTTTCAGGTCAGACTCACAGCATCATCACAGCTGATTATTCTTGAATATGAACTTACATGTGCCTTCCATACATTGTACCGTGGTATTTCCAGACTCCAGCTCCTGACATACACAACGTGTTCTATCAATCTCTGGAGCCTGAATATATAAGTCAAATGAAGTAAACCTTCCCAGTCAAGCAAAGCATGTTCACTGAATTGGGTGATTTCCTTTGCCATCATGCTGTCGACCAGATAGGGTTAGTAGTGTTTTCAAACCTGAGCTATGCCTTATTGCTAAACAATTTGTAATCAGTTTATACTGATTATTTGCCTCATATGATTATTTTGATTTGTTTGTTTGAATTAATTTGCTGTGTTGGGAACTAAGATATGCTATCAAGATTGACTGGTTCTTGTGAACAATCTATAGCAAAAAATGAGAAAAGTTGTGGCTTTGTCATAGCAAAAAAAAAGTATAGAAATGAGCAGCTAATCCTGTGGTAACATCAAAAACTGCTGTTGTAAATGTGAAATGTCAGTAAAACCAGGGGCAAATATGAAACGTGACCTGAGTCCAAATTTAAACCATCTGATGCTTCCTCAACATCATATCAGGCAGGGAGTAGGAGAATCATGATGCTTAATGAGAGAAGGCCCTGAACCCCAAAACTCTTATATTGTACCCTAGGAAGTCCCGAAAGCCCATTGCTGTAATAGCTAAATCAACAAAAATCTTTCAGAACGGAGGAGCTTTGAGTTCTTTCACAAAAGTGAAATTGGTATAAAGAAATATAGCTAAGCAACTGTTCTCTAAGACTGCTCGACTACAATGAAATATGCTAGAATACAGAACAGCACCGTACGGCAAAAGTGTGCATAATACAATGTAGCACAAATTATTCTGGTTAATTGAATGAAAAAAGTAGCACTAACTTCTTCATGGGCAGTTAAGAATGCCAAGGTTCAGATTATGCAACGTTTTATAAATGAAAAGAAACAACAGAAAATCACTACAAAAGACCCACATACAGAGATTTCCTAAACTTCTCTGGAGCCCATTCTGGAGGTGTGCACATCAGAATTATGTGCTGTTGGGATCCTGAGTGATCCTGAGCTGTAAAATTCTAGGTATGTTCAAATTATAAAATACACAGCCATAACAGCTGCCCAAGTGCTTACAAACAAATGGCAAAACTATAGCCAATGTGTAGTGGAGACATGGATTAATCTTCCTGTACAATACAGCAGCACAGTATGTTAAAATTAAAATATGTAGAAAAAGTTTAATGTTTACATAGTTTAGAGACACTGGCCTCACATAAAGTTTCCAAATTCAATTTATTATGGCACATATATATGTTAAAATAATACTATTGCAGTGCTCTCTTACTAAGCAACGTATGTTATCTATTAATGTGCAGAGATGCCAGTGTTAAGCAATTAAATTAGGAGAATGTCAAACTCTATCAAGAAAGCAAAATATTTAGTAAGCTGCCTAGAGAGAACTCTGGGAAAATATGACGTGAGACTCCCAGTGGCCTCTGTCCCTGATGATACAGTTATTATTTGATTTATGTGGACTTGCAGCTGCCCTTGCTTTGACCCTAGGAAGGGCTGTGTGGGAAGTTTGTGTCTCAGATAGGCTGAAGCGTTGGTCTGCAGAGTGTCTGGAGCCTAAGTGTATGCAAAGAAACTGATAAATAGGGAAAAGGCCCAGTTTGCTCCAGCTGGAAATCAGAAAGTTGAAGTAACTGCTGCATCCTCACAGACCCACTCTAGGAAGAGAGGGCATTCTCTCCAGAACTACTGTATGTAAGTATTTTATTCAGTTCTCTAAAATCTTGTGGATTTTACAGTATCAGTCTACACAAAAATTAACTGTGCTCTATTAAGATATTTGCAGTTTAGAACACTTTTGTCATCTGATTTTTAAAATGCTGATCAAGGAACAATAGAAAAAATTATACCTTTTAAATAAGGTGTTCTTTACTGCCAATCATTTTGTTTTAGGAGTATTAGACATATGTAAACTGCTTTGGTGACCTACAATATACTGGCCATTCAAGAGATGCATTTTTCCCTCCTGAAGATAACAAGGAAGTGCAAAATTCAGTGCAATAATAATCAGAAGTATTTTAGTCATATAATTATTATGCAATGGCAGCTTCTAAGCCCCAAGGATTCTGTGTGACATTCAGGATTAGATTTGGTGGTAAAATTAATCCTGTGTCTGAAGTACAAATGTGTCTGTTAACTGTGTAAAAATTTAATTTATTTAATTGTTGATGTCCTTCTAAACTAACTTTTTTTTAGTGGTGGATCCATTTCAATGTTACCCATTCTCAACAAACCAGACAGGCAGACATCAAAGCTATACAGTTATAAAGGACCTGTCTCCCTTTATTTTTCCAATTAATTTAAATTATTCCTTTTAAATAATTACACACATAGCAATTATTTAAAAATAAGTAGCAGAGATTACAAAATCGTCACATACAAAACTATCCATCAATAGGATAAAGCAATCCCTGTTACGGAAAGTCCCAAAAAAGACACCATACAGACAGATGAACAGAGCAAATACCATTTACGGGATGGGGGGGGTAAGCTTTCCTCAGAGAGCAGTTTGATTTGGGATTCTTCACATATTAAAAAACAAAAATCCCCACCAGAGCTCATATTATTAAAAGGCCTGATTTATGCAGCACTATGTTATCTGATTCTATTAGCTTTCTTTGCAAAATGAATCCACTCTTAGTTTAATCACCGATGTGGTTAGAGGATTGCCTTTTGAGTGCAGCCAAATATACTGCCTGGGATATCAGAATATAATAGCCAGTGAGAGTGGCTGGTAACTTCTTGTCAATTCTTGGTTTAATTTTCATAACTTCAGAAAGTACAACTCCCACTCCGGAGACAAAACAAAGCTGGAATCAAAACTGAGATTGAAATCCACTGCCTAATTCGTGTGGTTGTTCATTCATGCTTTCTTTCCCAGGATATAGGGTGCACTAAATAAATCTAAAAGACCTTCAGCTCAAGTTCCTGACATTCCTTTGGAACAAGAAATTTCCCTTTTGACACAACTGTCAAAATATTTACGATAGATGTTAATGTACTGTCAATTCAGACATTTTGAAGAGCTCCCTGGAGGGTCTCCTTAAAGAAATATGTTCCACATTGTAATAGTTATCATAATAAAATTATGAAAAACAACATAGCATCTTCTGCCATTAATAACATGAAAACAGATGCACAGTATGTCTTCAGTTTGTATACGTGACTTCTGGTAAGTGACTCAGATGTTTTTGTGTCACGAGTTCATACTTTACTTTTTATACATTGATGAGTTTACCATTAAAACGTCACTTTCCCTTCACTTTTGATAAACTGAAGATGACTGACAAATCCTTTGATTAGGACTAATAGCTGAATATTCCTGAACCTTTGTGATGACACACAAGATTTACAGTGGATGGATAACCTACTGTTTCAGTAGATGTTCCAGTTTACATTTTGTCACCTGATGGAGATTTAATACTATCAAAAGTAAGGTTAGAAAAGTAAAACAGTATGATTTTCAGATGTGCCTATGTTACTTAGGAGCCTAAGTACCATTGACTTTAATCTTTGTCAATCAATTAGGCAATTCTTAAAAATTTTCGCTAACTCATTGTGGAAAGGACATTTTATTTCTTTTATATGCTTCCTAATAACTATGAAAAAAGACTTTCCATACAAAAGGCTTAGCAGGAATAACATCAGAAACAGTAAAAAATGAGCAGGGCATAATGTGTATCTTTATACATGAAAAACTCGCCTTAAAGCAGCCTAATTAAGGACTAAAGTGTTGGGCCCTAAATGTGGCACTAATTGTGATCCTAGATAACTGATATGATTGCTCTCATTAAGGTGTGCATCACAATTCCCAGTCTAACACCCCGTTTTCAGTCGCAACTTTCCGAAACGTTTACTTTTTAGGTTAAAATTCCCCAGACTTCATCTCTGTGCAAAGGTGATTTTTTTGTCTTTTCTTTTTAAAGTGTAAGTAATAATGGTTGAATAAGAGAAGTGTGTGTGTGTAATATTCTTTTTCCATTATAAAAAAAATGGTTGTAACTCTTCTGACTGGGGTAAAACATTAAAATTTGTCAGAGAAACAGCTGTCATTGAGGAGAAGAACTTTTGAGTGTTCTGGTGAAATCTGGTTATGATTTGATCAAGTTATGATACTTTGAAAATTGCATGCGGAGCAATTGAATTTTTTTTGCTAAGTTCAGCATGGGCAACTAAGGAAGGCTGTGTTCTGTATGTATGCATGCCTAACTTAGAGTATGTGAAAGGAATACTGCAGGTAGACATGTGGGGTGAGGAAATACTTCCACAGAGTTCTTGGTTCAGTCCCTCCAAACCTCGTAAACTGTAAGAGATTAGAGACAGCTGCTGCACCCATTGTAGATGTGCATGTAGGTGCTCTGCTCTGAGGCACACAAGAACTCTGCACTTCATACGATTTGCAGGTGAAGGCCTCATTCTTGCCGACCTGCTCAAATGTGAGAGAGAGAGTTTATAGATTCCAGTTTATAGCATATACACATGCTATTGTCAATTTTGCAAACCAGCAGAGCTTTAATGTCCTAGAGATTGAAGTTGCTTCTTTTAGTATTTTTTCTATTTTCCATATTTTTTATTTACTACTCACCCCTCCAAGGCAATTTCATACCTGAAAACTATATTAAAAATGGTGTCTCAAAGTCAGGAAATTCCAGTTCCTTGTGCATATGCATCATGATGACAATATACAGCCTTTAGTTAATTCTCAAATAAACCTGTGGTTCTTCATTTTAATATAATTTTGATTGTTTTCTAAAGTGAAGAAATACTCCAGTTTACACTGACCCAGTGTAAGCTGAAAATTCAGCGGTCACAGCTGACATTCACATATATAACTGTGAACATAGAATTAAGGCCCCTGGGCTAGAATCACAAAGGGACTTAGTTATTGCAGTGCTTAGCAATCCACAGACCTGAGTTAAGCACCTAGGCTCCCTATATAATGCATGGGGAGAGTTGGGTTTCTCAGACTAGGATCCACAAAAACCAACATGCTGAGCAGGGTGCTGCCAAGTTAGCCAATAGGAAATGCCAAGGAAAGGGGAGCGCGCTAAGCCCTAGCCTTGCAAGGAGCTGGGTGCCTATCTCTGCAGGGATTCTCAGCTGTGAATCTTCTCCTGGAGTTAGGCACCTAAGTTGTTTTTTACATGAAATGTTGGGGGCAGGAGGCAGTAGCAGCAGTAGTCCTCTTATCTTTAGCCCAGTAGTTAGGACCCTCAACCAGCAGGTGGGAAATCCAGGTTCAATTCCCCCATCTACCTGCTATGGAGAATGGATATGAACTTGGGTCTTCCACTTCTCAGGAGAGTGCCCTAACCACTGGCTGTGTGTCTCTCTCTCCGTTTCCCCTGTTAAAGTTATACCACTTTGTATACATAATTAACTATGTATTGGGTCAGAGAGCATGTCAGACTGACTCTATAGTCCAGTGGTTGGGGAACTCAGCTAACTAGAGGAACACCCCAAGTTTAAATCCCTTCTCCACATCAGGCAGAGAAGGGAAATGAGTCTGGGTCTCCCACATCCTGGGTGAGTTCCTTAACCACTTGGTTATAAGGGAGGCTGCCATCTCCTCCCTCAGCCTGGCTGTTTTATGTGGGGTCAGGCATGCTCTGATTATGCATACTGTGTTGCATCCCGCAGGGTAGATAGACAGATGCCTAATTTGAGTATCCCACTGGGGCTTAAGTGTGAGATAGGCACCGTGTGCTTAGACTGAGGCAGCTGTGGGTATGCTCACTAGCAGAAAATTACATGACTTGGGAATTTAACAGTGGAAATATAGATATGTAGGAACTTAAGGTGCCTCCAGGGTTAGATGGCAGCAGCTGAGCAAGAATTTTGAGGATCCCCGTGGTGCCTAAATGTTGGCACCTATCTCCTCTTGTGGAACTAGCCCCATACTGTAATGCATACAACACAAGATGATAGAATTAAAGTTGAATGTTCAATCTTAACTTTGGCATTTCCTAACTGTGGAGAGCTTTGCTATGCAACCTTAATGTTCTCATGTCATTTTTTGGATGAAATATAGAACATAATTTAACTTTTGTTTCTCCATGACCTTGAAAGACCATCACAAAGAGCCCAATCCTGAAATCCTTTCTCAAGTAACACTCATTTGAGTCAGTGGAAACTTTGCCTGAATAAAGACTAATTCATTATATCGGGATCAATTTAATTAATCTGACACATTACAGATGTGAATGTGGGTTTTGTATGCTCAATTTACATTTTTGATAGACTGGATCAGTGTAACTTTATTTTACTTTGGAATACTTTTTCACATAGAACAACCATCAAAAGGATGTTGGAAACACACACATCAGTTTTAAAAAATGCATATTTACCGAAGGAAAAAATTTAGACTTTGTCCATGCCAAATTGATCTGATTGATAAGGCCCCCACCCAGGATTCATTGAGTCACTCTCTTTCAAACAAATATTTACTAGCAGAGATAACACAATGGCAGCATTCCAGCCTCACAGCACCTTTTCTCCTTGTGCTGGTGACATGAGTGGAAAGTTTTCTATTCCATGGATATGTCTATGCTGGGGGAGGGTATTAATGTATATTTTGGGAGAGGAGGTATATGCCTCAAGATATGGCTTCAGTTCAGATTCCCTGGAGTCATAAAATCATCTTCTCAGGTACAGTAGATAAACTATTCCATGTACCCTGCTGTGACCATCTTTCAGGTGAGCCCTTAAGATCCAAGCTCTTATCTGCTCTGCAGGAGTCATTACTGATCCCATGACGCTGTCATTTTCTTTCAGAGTACAGCTATGTCTACATTGCAGAGGAAAGTGTGCCTACCAGTTTGGGTAGGCAGAGAGCCACATGCTAGCTTTGCTCAAGCTAGAGCATTAAAAATAGCAGCATGGATGTTGCAGCATGAGCTACCCACCCAAGTACAAGCCTGCCTGACCCTGTGGATCCAAGCTCAGGTGGCTAGGCCATGCTGATGCCCAGGCTGCAATGTCTACACTGCTGGTTTTAATGCATTAGTTAGAGCAAAGTTAGTCTGTCTCCCTAAGCTGGGAGTAGTGCTCCAAGCTGCAGTGTAGACATACCGTAAGAGTTTAACCTAGGATCTCCCCCAAACCATTGTGGAGCATACTATGTGCTTGGTGGCTGCAGTTCAATAATTTTTGTATCAACTGTGAATTTCTTTGGGATAAAATTTTCAGTAGAAATGTAAAAAGTGCATCTCTCTTAGGGTTCATCTACATTTGATCTTGGGGATGTGATTGAGGCAAAGCTAGTGTGAGTACCTCTGTGCGAGCTGGGAATCACATCTCCCAGCTCAAATACAGATGTATCCATAGTGTGAGTATATACTGTTTTCTTTTTCTGTAGCACATTTCAGCATTTCATACAAGTTTTCAGTTACAGCATATGTTTTGTACACACTACATATTTTACATAAAGTTTATTTTAGAAATGTTTTAGACATTTTACATTTTTTTAGACAGGCATTCCTTGTATCCCTCTTCCCGTGAAGTAAGGTGCCTCATTCATCATGAGTCCAACTGTTCAGTACTTAGAGAGAAAATTATGATGATTAATCAACTTTAGAAACTTCTAAATATTACCTAAAATAGCTTTACTGTGATGATTTCAATAGTCAGAAATGTGGCTTAATTACAGTATTTTCAGCCCAGTTCAGTAGGTGTTAATCTGAAGTTCTCTAGCATGCAGCATTTTCATAGGTGTTAAAGCCCACATTATCCTGTTGTTACCTAAAATAACTGCTGAGTTTTGGATTTTGCAAAATATTGACTTTATATTTAATCAAATCCTGTAATTCTTTGAAAGCAACTTCACAGTTAACAGAATGAGCTTTCATTTATGATATTCTGTGACATATAAAATAGCAAAATCAACATCACAATTAGTGCTAATTTGCCACCCTTGTCTGCTGTCTCACCCCCCTACTGGTCACAAAGCTCAGCAGAGGGGTCAAGAACCAAGTGAGCCATGGAGAGTTAATGTCCCTTCTCATCTCTACAGATGGTTCCTCCTGAGCTGAGTTGAAGCATATTGGTTGGGGACAGTGCTGGCCAGAAGTTTGCACTGCCACTGCCCATCTTGTACTTGCTCTGGGGATATGCATAGAACTTCTGAGTCCAAGGCTGTCAGACTGGTACTTTTCATCTCTTTGACCCTCTATACTCACTCCTATCATGCACTTTTTATTTTTACCAATGATTATTTGCCTTCTTCATCTTTGTCATCCCTCCTCTTTGCTAAAGGAGAGACTATTAATATTTTAGTGGTGAGGCCCCCTTTGGAACCTCACCTCTTCTGGAAAAGTCAAATTGACTGGTATCTTTAATCAATGCAGTTCCCCTAATCCTTTCCCACTGTGGAGGAAGAGAAGGACACTAAGGCTATGTATGGCAGCTACACCAGACTTTAGGCTGCAGTAGTGGCTTCAGAGCAACTCCACTGCTGCTATGAGATTAGTGTTGGAGAATATTAATCCTAGGCTAATTATTTGGAACGGGAACATAGTTTAGAGTAAAATCAGCGACATGAGAAGACTTATAAATGAATCCTCAACCCTGTTCATTAGCACCAACACAGTCTGAAATGCTGTAGACTCACAGCGACTTTCTACCTATCTGCATTTCTCTCATAATTCGCAAATGGCCTCATTATCTGGAGATGTTTCTTTTTTTTCAGGGCTGTTTAACCTGCCTCCCACAACAATTCTTTCTGAAATAATGTTTGTCTTCTTTCTAATGAAAGCCTGAGTCTTGCCTTTTGAAGTAACTGGCACTGTTCTACTTCCTCAGATTTTCTTCTTAAAAGCCCATCATACACCAAAGTGAATGAAACAGTGGGAGCTGGAGCAGAGTATGGCAAATACCTTTGTAACTGTATCTGATGGGTACTGTCTTGCTGAACCCATTCAATATTATGGTGAGTAAAGCAAAATGAAAGTATTATGAAAACTCAGATTGTCTGCAGCAGTTACTCTTTTCTTTTGGTTTATTATTACAAAAGGTGCCTACCTTAAAGATCTAGGCACTTATACATTCAAATGGGGAATGATAAGCAAGCAAGTATGTTTCTAGTGAGCTTCCACAGGGATCAGTTCTTGGCCCTATGCTATTTAACATTTTTTTTAATGAATTCAAAGAAAAGGTACAGTCATCACTGATAAAAAAGTATGAGATGATACAAAAATTGGCGGAAGTGGTGAATAACTAAGAGGACATGTCACAGATACAGAGCAATCTGGATTGCTTGGTAAACTGGGCACAAGAAAACAATATGTGTTGTAATACTGCTAAATGTAATATCTAGGAGCAAAGAATGTAGGCCATACTTACCGGATGTCATGTGGGACTCTGTCCAGGGAAGCAGTGACTGAAAAAGATTTGGGGGTCGTGCTGGATAATCGCTGAATATGAGCACCCAAAGTGATGCTATGCCCAGAAGGGCTAATGTGATCTTTGAGTGCATAAAGAGGGGAATCTCAAATAGGACTAGAGAGCTTATTTTACTTTTGTGTTTGGCACTGGTGTGACCCCTACTGGAATACTGTGTCCAATTCTGGTGCCAACAATTCAAGAAGGATGTTGATAAATTGGAGAGGGTTCAGAGAAGAGCCACGAGAATGATTACAGGATTAGAAAATTTGCCTTATAGTGATAAACAGATTGAGCTCCTTGATAATATCTTAACAAAGAGAAGGTTAAGGGGTGTCTTGATTACAGTTTATAAGTACTTACATGGGGAACAAATATTTGATAATGGACTCTTCAGTCTAGCAGAGACAGGTATAACATGTTCCAATGGCTGGAAGTTGAACTTAGACAAATTCAGACTGGAAATAAGGCATAATTTTTAACGGTGAGGGTAATTAACCATTGGAACAATTTACCAAAGGTCATTGCAGATTTTCCATCACTGTACATTTTAAAATCAAGATTCAATGTTTTTCTAAAAGATATGCTTTAGGAATTATTTTGGGGAAGCTCCAGGGCCTTTGTTATACAGGTCAGTCTAGATGACCACAGTGGTCTCTCCTGGCCTTGGAATCTATGAAATATCCAGTGAGAGATATTCAAAATTCATTAAAATAATTCAGGTACAAAAATCTGTGCATTCAGTGTGATATGCTGACCATCAGTTTTATCCCAGGGTTGCACGGAGCAGTTTTTTTGTTGTCCTCTGGCACACAAAGGTTAAAAGTCTAGATGTCATTCAACTATTCCAGACATACTGTAAAGGCCCTATGACTATTGCTTCCGCTCCAATGTGATTGTGTAATTGAAGTTAGTATCTGGTTCTGGATGAGTGAACACTAAAGTCCTGATCAAAAGCCCATTTAAGGCAAAAAGACTTTCAAGATACTTCAGTGCTCCTTGGATCAGGCTTGAAAGGTAGACTGAAACATGATACATAATGTACTGAAATATGCACACATATTCTTAACAAGAGGAAAGAACAGGTTAAAGAATATTCAGATAAACTAGAAGCATTCAAGTCAGCAGGGCCTGACGAAATTCATCCTAGGGTAGCTAAGGAACCAGCTGAAGCAATCTCAAAACCATTAACAATTATCTTTGAGAGCTCCTGGAGGGCGGGTGAAGTCCCAGAAGACTGGAGAAAGGCAAACATAGTACCTTTCTTTAAAATGGGGAACAAGGAGGACATGAGGAATTATAAACTAATCAGCCTAACTTTCATACCTGGAAAATACTGGAACAAATTATTAAACAATCAGTTTGTAAGCACCTGGAAGATAATACGATAAGGAATAGTCAGCATGCAGCTGTCAAGAATAAATCATGCCAAACCAACCTAATTTCCTTCTTTGATGGGGTTCCTAACCCAGTGGATAAGGGGGAAGCAATAGATGTGATATATCTTGATTTTAGTAAGGCTTTTGACATGGTCCCATGTGACCATCATAAGCAAATTAGGGAAATGTGGTCTACATGAAATTACTGTAAGATGGGTGCACAAATGTTTGAAAGATTGTAAGCCAGGAGTAGTTATCAATGTTCACTGTCAGATTGGGAGGGCGTATCTAGTGGAGTCCTGCAAGGGCAGTAATAGTACTATTCAGTACTATTCAATATTTTTGTTAATGACTTGGGTATTGGAGTGGAGGGTATGCTTATAAAATTTGCAGGTGACACTGCGCTGGGAAGGGTTGCAAACACTTTGGAGGACAGATTAGAATTCAAAACAACCTTGACAAATTGGAGAATTGGTTTGAATTCAATAAGATGAAATTCAGTAATGATAAGTACAAAGTACTTAGGAAGAAAAAAATCAAATGGACTACTAAAAATGGTGAATAACTGGCTAGGTGGTATTACTGCTGAAAAGGATCTGGGGGTTAGAGTGGATCAGAAACTGAATATGAGTCAATCAAGTGATGCAGTTGTGAAAAAAGCTAATATTCTGTGGTATATTAACAGGAATGTTGTATGTAAGACATGAGAAGTAATTATCCCACTCTAGTCAGCAGTGGAGTGGCCTCAGCTAAAGTACTACATACACTTCTGGGTACCACACTTTAGGAAGGATGTGAACAAACTAGAGGGAGTCCAGAGAAGAGCAACAAAAATGAAAAAAAAGGTTTAGAGACTCTAAACTATGAGGAAAGGTTAAAAAACTGGGCATGTTTAGTCTTGAGAAAAGAAGACAGGGGGGCACCTGATAAGCCTTCAAATATGTTAAAGTCTATTATCAAGAAGACTGATCAACTGTTCTCCAGGTCCACTGAAGATAGGACAAGAAATAATATGCATAGTCTTTAGCAAGGGAGATTTAAGTTAGATATTAGGAAAACTTCCTAATTATACAGGTAGTTAAACACTGGAATGAGCTTCCAAGGGAGGTTGTAGAATCTCCATCATTGGAGGTTTTAAAAACATGTTGGACAAACACCTGCCAGGGATGGTCCAGGTTTACTTTGACCTGCCACAGCACAGAGGCTGGACTTCATAGCTTCTCAAGGTCCCTTCCAGCCCTACATTTCTGTGATTCTTGTACATTTTGTTTCATTTTTAAATCAACTGCAAACATGATAAATAACTGTAAAAACAACTGCTATCACAATGCTGTACAAACATATTAATGCAAATATGACTATATGAAATCTGGGTTACACAGAGAAATATTAAATAAAACATGTTCTGGCATTTGTGGTCTGTTGAATATCAGATGTGTATGTGATGGTAAAAAATGTCACCCTTTGGAATTTCTGAAATGCCCTTCTCTGTTTGTTAATGTTTTTCATTTTCATATATTGTGCCTGGAATGTGTTTTAATACAAAACATAAATGTTTCCCTACTTAAAATGTTTACTTATTTAAGGGTAAATTTTCTGCTGGGCTGATACCCAGCCTCTTTTCTGGAGCTCAACCTTAGTCCACATTAATGAACTACAGGCATAAGTGTGAGTATACCAAACTCTCACTACCTGAATTTCCTGCAATTTAACGATGGATGGAAAATTAAATTACTAATCTACAGGATTCCAGTAGCCCACAATATGACACTGACCAAACACACGAAAAGAATTTACTAAGAAAAATTGCAGGCACCAATTTTTAGGTGCAGAAGTGAAGCTACCCTTCTGAAAATTTCTCTTAATATTGACACATTATAAACATAATTTAATATTTTCAGTATATGAAGTCACAAATTCTTCCACAACCTTTTTGTTTTATTCTCATTTTTTTCATTATCTAGATGTTTTGCCAGAGCACATCAATTATCAGCTGCAAGACTCAGACTTTCAGGCTACTCCTTACTGCCAGTATTCAACTGTTCAGTTTCCTCCAGTGTTACAGTCACAACCTTCCCAGTCACAATACAACACATACAGCCTGGATTCTCAGTACAGTGATGGGCAGTACATAATCAGTAATTGTGAATTAAACAAGCCCCCCTGCATGGTTGCCCATAATGATGATGATGGATATCATGGACTAAAAAGGCCAAGACTAAGTCATTCCTCCTTGCGAATGAAGGGTCAGGAAGAGCTCTGTGTTGTATGTGGGGACAAAGCCTCAGGATACCACTACAATGCGCTCACTTGTGAAGGCTGTAAAGGTAAGGGAGAAATACCGTATATACTCGATCATAAGCCGGTTAGTTTATAAGCCGGTTAGTTTATAAGACGACCCCCCCCCCCAAGATGGATATGTAAAAATGGAAAATTTTTATGACCCGTTCATAAGCCAACCCTTTAGTTCACGGGTCAGCAAACTTTGGCTCTTGGGCCATGAAGATAAGCTGCTGGCGGGCCGAGATGGTTTGTTTACCTCGAGCATCCTCAGGCACGGAGATAAACCTAAGTAAACAAAGTGTCCTGGTGCACCAGCTGCTTACCCTGACAGGCCAGGACAGCAACCGGTGGGGACATTTTTTGTGGGGGAGAAGCTGGGGGTCAGGGGGGTAACCCCTGTGACCACCCCCCACATGACCCCACCCCTAGCCCGGGATCCCCACACTCTCCCTATCCCATCCCTTCCCACCTTATCTGGGAAGGATGTCTCTGGCCTGGCTGGAGCTGCTCCAGCAGGTTGGGCAGCGCGGCTGCAGGCTGTTCCGGCGGGCCAGACCAGGCAGTGCGGGCGCAGCATGTTCCAGTGGGCTCGGCCGGGCGGCATGGCCACAGCCTGCTCTGGGAGGCGGGGCCGAGCGGCGCGGCTGCAGCCCGCCAGCCTTGGAGCTGCAGCTGCTTCGGAGGCTGGGGCGGAGAGCAGCGTGGCCAGAAGCGGAGAGACTCTGGCCCTGCCTCTTCCCTTCTGGCTGTGCTGCCTCTCCTTGCTCCCTCTGTTGGGGGGAGGGGCTGTGTCCCACCTTTCCCTCTGTATACTCGTTCATAAGCCGACTCCCTTCTTTGGTGCTTCCCTTTTTTACTAAAAAAATTCGGCTTATGAACAAGTAGTTTTATTTTGTGATTTAAAAGAAAAGTGCCTCATATTAATCAGTGCAGCATGCTGAAATTCCACATGTGCAATTTTAAATTAACATATTTATGTTAATTTTCAATTGACATTTTGGAGGACAGCTGCAGTCTAGTTGAAGAGTGGAATAACTTATGGGATCCCTTCCTTTGAATCCCACTACTGACTGCTCCTTCTCTGCTACATCAGACTCCATCTTCTTGTCTTTGCTTTCAAGGATCTACATAACTCAACTCCTCTGTACTTATCTACCCTTGTCTCTTTACATGTTTCCCCATCCCCTCTGTTCCACCAGTGATGCCAGACTCATCCACTCATTTGTCAGGTATGTAAAAAAAACATCACCACCCTTATCCTTCCCTGCTTCCCCCACTGCATACAAAGTCTTCCTGAGCTTATGTGTAAGACCACTACACTCACCACATTAAAATCCCTCCTAGAGATCTGTTGCTGCTATGAGAACTATAGGTTGGACAAATTCTGGAACTCTCTCATACAACAAACACACAAAGCTATTGTTATTCAAGCAATATGTTGCAGTGGACAACTACCCCCTTGACCACTTTATCCACATTACTCCTCTTCCTCTATCTTTTATCTGCCTGCTTGTCTTTTAGCTTCTAAGTTGTTCAGGGCAAGGACTGTGCACCCTTTTGCGTTTGAAAAGTGCCTAGCACATTGTGGAAGCTATCAGAAACAGATAATACATTATAATACTGGTCCCAGTTTCACATTTTTGTGGAATTTAATTAATATCTATTTTCACAGTTAACATTATGTGAGGTGAAAACTGATTTCACACAATGCTACACATGGCTCTCGGGTCTGGCTGACTTCAATGAAGTTGTGTCTGCTTATGCTGGTGGTGACTTTGGCTCATAATGCCTATGTATTAGCCCTGTGTTTTTCTCTCTCTCTGCTGGACTTGGATTCCTGAGGACCACTGCGATTTTGCATTTATCAAAGTTCCTTTTTCATGGAAACCAACTCATTTCTCAGGAACCAGATAATACAGCTCTAAGAATGGCCAAATCCCTACAAAGTGGTGTGGTGCATTCTTAAGAACACAGGAATGGTGATATTGGGTCAGACCAATGATCTATCTAGCCTGGTATCCTGTTTTCCTACAGTGACCAGTGCCAGATGCTTCAGAGGGAATGGACAGAACAGTGCATCTATCGAGGGATCCCTCCTTCATCATCCAGTTGCAGCTTTTGGCAGTCAGAGGTTTTGGGACACCCAGAGCATGGGGTTGCATCCCTGACCAACTTGGCTAATAGCCATTGATGGACCTATCCTCCATGAACTTAGCTAATTCTTTTTTAAACCCAGTTATGCTTTTGACCTTCCCAAAATTCCCTGGCAACGAGCTCTACAGGTAGACTGTGCATTGTGTGAAGAAATACTTCCTTATTTTTCTTTTAAACTTGCTACCTATTAATTTCATTGGGTGACCTCTTGTTCTTGTGTTATGTGAAGGGATAAAAAACACTTCCTTATTCATTTTCTCCACACCATTCATGATTTTATAGACCCCTATCATATCTCACCTTAGTCATCTCTTTTCTAAACTGAACAATCCCCAGTCGTTTTAATCTCTTCTCAGATGGCAGTTGTTCCATACCCCTAATCATTGCTGTTGTCCTTCTCTGTACTTTCTCCAATTCTAATGTATCTTTTTTGAGACGGGGCAGTGTCACAAGGTGGTCTACTCATCACTGGGTGGCACCCCCTTCTGGCAATTCTGGGGATTACCCCCTTTCTTCTATTCCACTGTTGCAGCTCTTCTCCTGCTCACTGAGTCGCAGTATGGCTTCTTTGTGACTTGGCAGTGTGGCCAGGTCACACTGTGATTTCCCCTTCCAGGGGGTCTGTCAGAGTTCCCTTGCACAAGCAGCGTCAGGCAGTCCTTATGCCC